GAATGAAGGAGAGAGCAGAGAGAGAGATAGTGTTAGATAGATGATGGATAGATAGATAGATGGATGATGGAGGGATGGCGATGGGCGATGGTGGATGGATGGGTGGTATGGATGGATGGATGCATGGTGGATGGATGGAATGGTGGATGGAGGATGGTTGATGGATGGATGGCTGGATGGTGGATGGATGGATGGATGGATGGATGGGATGGATGATGGATGGTATGGTAGGATGGATGGTTATGGTATGGTTGGGATTGTATGGATGGTCATGGATGGATGGTACAATGGATGGATGGATGGAGGGCATGGGCAATGGATGATAGATAGTAGATAAATGATAGAGGTAGATAGCATTAGATAGATATGTGGTGTATACGTGCGCACATAGCTTTGCGGCGTGGGGTGTTGTGTTTGTCGTGCGCGCGTTGCGCGTTGTGAGTGCGTGGGAATGTGTGTGTGTGTGTGTGTTGGGGGGGGCGTGCGTGCGGCGGTGCGGCGTCGCGTGGTGCGTGCGTGCGTGCGTGCCTGCCTGCCGAATGGTGGGGTCATGGTGGCAGTGTGTGTGTGGATGTGATGTATGTGTGTAGGTGCGTGGGTGCCGTGCGGGGGCGTGCGTGCGGACCTTGTGTGCGGCGCGCGGCGCGGCTGCGTGTGTGTTCGCCCGGGCGTGGCGTGCGGTGCTCCGTGCGGTGTGTGTGTCGTCGCTAAGGGTGAGAGCCGACGCGCCAGAATTAAGATCATGCGACAGGCTTTGCGGGTAATTGAGTTTTATCTGTTTTTTTGTGTCTTTGTTTTTTGAGTCTATCGTTTTAGCAGCATCGGAGTTGGATTTGGCAGGTGATGTTTAACCCTCGGGTTCACTGTAACATGCGTGGGGGCCGCGACAGTACCGCTGGTAAGTCTCTTGTACACATGCTCTGTACAGATGTTACATTCGAGATTAGTAATCTGAGATTAGTTGTGGTTTAATAGACAGGCTGTGGGCGTTTAGCAACATTAGGTTAGAAAAGCTATAGGGTTGGGTAAGAGCCAAGCATAGGTTACGGACGTTTAGCGTTAGGACTGGTACAGATGCTTGGCCGATCTTACATTGCGCGCGGACATCTATTCAATAACGAGAGTGTTGGTGGTGTATGATTGGCTGCGGGTAGAGTGAATGGGCGTGATTTGGGATGCGGGGTTTCTATATACATAAGGGACGGGGCAGCATTTTGAACGAGGACGCGCGTTGAAATTAACAGGACGGGACCACAGGGCACTATGGACCGTATTCAATTAATAACATGGATGGTTAATAAGACAACTTTGTCAGTACTACTCTAGTCCTACCAGCTAGGCCTACCAGTACCAGCAATAGGTCTTAATGTTTGATATAAGCTTTTATTCACACGCCAATACACCGCTGCAACACAGAGCCCGCCACGCATTTGATGGCACAGATACAAGGTAGGGTTAGAGAACGAGGGTAGAGAAAGCGGTGTTCACAGAAAATTCGCAGACCCGCTCCACGTTTTGTCGCAGCCTAAAGGAGAAGAAGAAAGAGTCCAAACGCCATGATTTGGGCATCTGGGTGTAGGGTGGGAGAAGTGGAGGGGAGTCGGGAGGAGTTTGCGATTCTGGGGGACTTTACCAGCAATTATCAGTGCAGCAATCCTGCCTCAATTGCCGCAAATTTCCCGATGCAGCCGATTCGTAATCGGGGGACAGTACAATGGCAAGGGCGCGCATTGCATTCTGGGAGCAGGATGTTCAGATAGGTAAGGGGGTGGGGTCGCGGGGCGTGGTTGCTCCCAGAATGCTATTGCGCAGCATTCTCACGTCAGCTAACTCGATCCAGATTATGCGCGGTTGAAGCGAATGGTCTTAGATTTTGAGAGATTTGAAGATTAAGAGCCTAGATGTTCTATCGCCCGGGCATGGGGGCCATTGGGCGGGTATACGGTAGCAGGAGCCATGTCACGCGCGACAGGCGCGCGCAGTTTTAATCAACGTGTACAATCGTGTGGTAGAGTTCGGTGTTCCACAGCATGATCGGTCTAGGACTCACGTCGGGGTACAAGGTCGAACGTTATTCGAATCCGGCATTTGGTGTTACGGCAAAACCGGTACGTTTTAGCTAACGATGTCGGTATAGTAGGAAAACATATATTGTAAATGTTTGATTAACAAATTTCGTACACAGGTCGTTACACAAGATCCACGCAGATGCCTTGGCGTGGGTAGTCTTTCACGACTCTACCGGGAAATGAGGAGGGGTTAGTAAGATACGAATCGCTGTTTGGAGAGAGCAAGCGAGCTCTACGGTTGGTTAAATAGCCACAGCCGATTTGCTATTGTTCGCATGAGTTGCACCATGCAGGGTGCTAAAGTTGTTATACTGTTTCTAGGGAGAACAGACAGTCACAAGGAGGCACGGAACGTGGGTGTATTGTGTTATTGTTATGTGTTGTTGTATTGTATTTCAATATGTGTTGATTGTATGTGTTGTTGTATTGTAGTTTCAGGTAATGCATATGTATATGTATTATGGAATATCTGTTGAGTGTTGGGAGTATTTCAGGCTTATGCAGTCTGGATTTAATGAGTGTGGGTGGGCATTGGGTTCGACCGCCGTCTTTGGTGGTTGTAGTTGTGTATTCGCCGGGCGCAGCCGCCTGTTTCCTCTCTTTGCGAGGCGTTCGTGCGAGGGAGGGTTTTTAAGGAATTTATTATTGCAAGCGATGGTTTACTTGCCAGTTCGGGGTCAAGTATGGTGTTATATCATTGTGGTCAGTGAGATTTTTGTTGGCGGCAGTGCTGAGCTCTCTCTCTCTCTCTCTCTCTCTCTCTCTCTCTATATATATATATATATATATATATATATATATATATATTCATAGATATTCATGTGTGCGCGCCCTAGGGTTGGCAATTTTATTATTCGAAATGAGATTTCTCGATGTTGAACTTCGGCTTCTATCCGGCTGATTGCTCTTGTGCCATTTATTATCTTTATAAATTGAACAAGACAAAATGCTGTTACTGCGCGGAAATAAAATTAAGCCCCCTGCATGCTTAATACTGTCTCGTATTCGCGAAAGAATGTCAGCGAGTAGAAATCAGCACCCGGGCAAATAACAAAAATCTACCAGCAGCATACATGTATATAATTGTACGTATGTGTAACATGGGTGAGTCTGCATCCACGACCATGGATCGCTTTCGCTTCATTTCGCGCAGTCAGTCAGCGGGATTCAAACATTCCGTGCTTACTAACAGAGACTCGACGAATACCAACGAAGGAGAAAGTGGCATATTATCTTACCATTTCTTGTTGTGTCTGCTTTCATCGTAAAACGTAATGGAAAAAGCGTAATTCGATATAAATGCACGGTTGTATTTGTAATTGGCATAATTCGCGTTTTACATAGAGGCTGAGATGTGGTTCTCTTGATATTCTACGCTTCCTTTCTTCTTCGTTATTGGCCTTTCACGTGTTATGTAAGTTATTGGCATGCCATACTGTGCAGGTCAAGATAGTACCAATCTCCATTCGTTTCAAGTGACCTATCAGCCTGATGTGATTGATAGACACATTAAGTCAATCAATGTTTTAGCAGGACATTCTAAAATGCAACGTTTAGCAGCGAAGTGCCGCAAAGTCGTCACTTACCACGTGAAAAGCGTGTGTAAACGTCTATATTGACTGACGTAGCAATAATATCCGCGTGCTTATCGCATGTCATGTCTGTAACTATTACAGTGTTAAGACCACCGAAAGCGAGATCAAGTCCGCACCCATCACGCTCACCCTACAGCACAAATACACACACGCGCACGCACGCACGCACGCGAACACACGCACACACACACACACACGCACGCACACACGCACGCACACACACACACACACACACACACACACACACACACACACACACTCACTCACTCACGCACAAACACGCGTGAGCGTGGTGGGGGTGGAATTGATCTCGCCGCTAGTTGTTAAGCCAGCTCCGAAGCCTCATTCACCTCTAGCCCCCCCGGAGGAAATTCCACGCTGTACACTCGCTCTCTCTCTCTCTCTCCCTCTCTCTCTCTCTCTCTCTCTCTCTCTCTCCTCTCTCTCTTTCTCATTCCGCTCTCTTTTCTTGCTTTCTCTCTCTCTCTCTCTCCCTCTCTCTCTCTCTCTCTCTCTCTCTCTCTCTCTCTCCTCTCTCTCTTTCTCATTCCGCTCTCTTTTCTTGCTTTATCTTTCTCTCTCTCTCCCTCTCTCTCCACGGACTAGTAACTTAATAAGCAACATTTTCCTATTCGCGAAAGGGCTTCTTTCTTCCTCTAATCTCCGACGACGCTGAAAAACATGCAGTATAGGCTTCGGTCGGCGGCCTGTCGTACACGTAGGCCTAAATAAGCGCGTCTGTGGGGAGCTCCGCATCGCTCACTGTGAACCCAAACGGCACCGACTACCCCCACGCCCAACCCCCGCGGGCCGGCGACATAAACTGATGCATCGGCGCTGACGTGCGTAACCACTAAGCTCCAGACCATGCATAGGTAATCAAAAAGGCGGCACGTACAAAAGGGAACCTTCGTTATGTTGCGCACAATCGGTTAATGATCGCGGCTATTAGATTTATTTATTATTAATGAAAATAC